GTTTGTTATTTTGGTTACATTTATTTTTTTTGTTAAATAGTTTAGTTACATGTTTAAGTTGACGAATAGTATTTTTCTTGTATATCTGTTGAGAATTGTTTGTTTTTTTTGTTATCTGATATTTATTTTTGTTAATAAACAGGAAACATTGCATACAAACCGGCGGAATCTCAAACATTAAAGTATCATTGTTTCTGAAGACAAAACTCAAAGAAGCATCTTTTGTTTAACACCTTAAACAAACATAGCTAGCTACAGCTATGACACACAAAAGAAACCAGAACTATCAAACAACAATATTTATAAACTAAAAACTTTAGGAGAAGGATAAATTGATGTTTGGAGAACTTTAGATATTTTGTACCAAAACTTATTATCAAATACTTCTTTATGCTGAAATTTTTTAAACTTATTAGCACTTCCAACGATTATAGCTATCACATAACTATGATGTCATAGTGAATCTGCTTGAGTGCATGAGTTATAAATGTTATGTTTTTTCCACTATTCTATTATGATGTTTTTGTAGTGATGCCTCTAGAGAGAAAGAGAGTAAAAATTGTATGTTTTGTAAGACGCCTAAGTAAATAGTTAGAATGATGAAAGACGTCATCCAGAGAAACCATTCATACATTACAATTTAGTTTTTGGGAAATCTTGATATGATTTTTATCATCATTAATTGCTATGCTATTTAACGTAGGCCTCAACCTACCTAAGTTCACATCAGGTAGCCGATGATGAAACACTCAAAGTTACTCCTGGTGTCCCTTGTGATTCAAGCTTGCTAATAATCCCTTGAACAATCTTCAGAGACGTAATTCCAACATTAAGTGAATATGCATCCAAAAGCTTATGATTTCTCCACAAAACACTATTGAAATTTTATGTATAAATTCATAGTATTTAGAATGATCAAGCCATTTATCTTCTGATAATCTTGCCGAATTAAAAATTGATGAGACCAACCAAGAATCACTAATGGTATATAATTATTGAAGATCAAAACTCCAACAACACTTTTAAAAAGGTAAAAAACAGAGATTAGGGATTTTCAAAATATAAATTTTGGGGAGGCTGTATTTAAACAGTAATGTAAGATATTGGGTCTTCCAATAAAACCTCTGGTCCTCCTTCCCCGATTTTCTTCTGAGTTGTGTTCTTTGTTATTCCTTTATTAAACGGGCATGATGAAAGGGAGATCCTTCCAGAGCAAAACATCTCTTCTCGGATCAGTCTCGACAATCATCTCCTTCTGCCACTCCCACTCCCCATCCCCCCTCCTTCCCTCTATTTTTATATTCGTATTACTTCAGTATCAAAACTTTATAGTATATTTATTGTAATCTCTGAATTAATGATTCTAAACTTTTAATCATCCAGGGTTTGGTAATAAAATCTTACGAAATTAAAAAAGAATAGTTTTTATTTTATTTTTCTCTGTTTTCAATATTTGTTTGAAAATGATATACATTGAAATCTTGGAGTTAGAAGAGATTTGTGATAAGAAGATAGCAAAAACTTTTAGAATTTTGTAACCACACCTAAATTTTTGACGAGAAATGAACATTGAGAATGTTTTTAAAAAATAAAAATAAAGGTAAACTAAATTAGATGCATGTTTTTTTTGTTTTTTATTTAATGTTGATTTGTAAAATCAAAAAAAAAAAAATTGACCCAATAAGGGGGGACTGATGTGTCACCGCTGGAGAGCCCCCCTTCTCTCATCTCTATATTATTATTAGTCGACATTTACATAAATGAACCTTTATTTGTAAGATATTACATAATATTTTACATAAATAAATATTTATTTATAAGATATTACATCAAAAAATATTTAGTAAGAAGATATTACATAAATAAAATTTACAAATAGAAAGCTCAACTATATATTCTTCCGTAAGAGATAGTTAAATATATAGCTCACATATTTTGTTTTTGAATATATATAGATATAAATCAAGTGTATTTAAATTCTTTATTATTTTATTTATTAAAATATTAAAATATTCTATTATTTTAAATAATAATCAATTCATATATATGAAAAAATCTATTTAAACTTTTGCAATATTTTTCATTGGTATTTTCATAATTATTAATATCATTTCGAAAATCAATTGAATTATTTTACTAAAAACAACAGAAATATATTTCAAAATTTAAATTGTATTTTTTACGGGTTGGCCAAAAAAAATATTTTATTAGATTGCAAAATAGATTAAATATTTTATTAATGACAATCCTATATATAATCATTATTAACACATATAATATAATTCATTAACTAAAAATGATAGTTTGATCTCTAATAAAATATTCATAGTTAAATTTTTATTTTATGGATATATATAGATTTTAATCCATATTGGTATATATATATATATATATATATATTAAAATCATATCACTTTCACATTTAAAAATTACTAATAATTAAACTGCATAACAAAACTAGCTCAAAGTTCTATTCAATGATATATATACAAGTAAATATCGGTTGTGTGATATTTATATATATTGTTATCTAATTGCCATCAATTTTATTTATTTACATTTTTTGTTAAAGAATTTTTGCCACCAATCTTAATTTAACTAAAAACTTAAAATTAAATTAAAATACAATTTTAAAATTATTACCCGGCACAATGTGTGGGTTAATTCCTAGTTATATATTAGAGTAGATACATATGGGGATAATCGGCTAGGTGTCAAGGTGGTCGGCAGTCAAACAACCGACCCATGGCTTCATCATAAGTACGATCTCCACTTCCTCGGATTGAGTTGAGTTGTCTGTTGAGTATCTGCATTAAGGTAAAAGCACCGGAAAGATAAGAAATCTTTGTTTTACTAATTGAAAAGTTTAGAATAAGAAACCATACAATGATACAAATTTGATAGTCTAGGTGCAGTCACATCAGCCATATATAAAGCCATTTCCAGAGGTTTTCTTCAGCTATGCCATGTGTTAATGTGATCTTTTTTTTTACATCTGTTAATGTGATCTTTTATTCCAAAATTTGCAGGTTATCGTTTGCATATTGATCCTACATGTGTCAATGTGTCTTTACTACAAACGTGGCTTCTCTTACTTTTCTAATTAAACATAAAAAAAAAGCTAGGTCAAGCTCAAATACCATGTATAAAGGGTACAGCAACAAGGTACTGGAAATCTCAAATAAAGCATTTAAGTTGCTTTTGCTGCAAGCTAGGAATCAGACATGGAAAGTATGTGGCAAGGTGAAGATTCTACTTTCTATTAATTTGTAGAGATGCTTTTTCAGGTGTTTATGAATTGCAGAATCGGTCAAGTTCATGAAGAGAAGATTATGGCTGAGATTACTAGAAGTTGCTGGATCTACTGTCATAAGCAATTACTAAATAGATGCAGATTCCTTTTGGCATTCCAAAGTGTTTATTTCTTTAACATAAGGTAATGTATTCTCGTTAATTAGTTCCTGACTTATTAATAGTTCTTGTTAAACCAACTCTTGATTAATAAATACATGTATCCTCGATTCTAGTGTATAATGTATCCTCGATTGTGTTGATCACCAACGTCTTAATTTGCGTTATTTATCTTTAATTTCTGATAGGTCTTCTTAACATCAGACAGGCGTGGAATTTTCATTGAGAGAAGACCCACCAAACCAAGACTTGAAGCTGTTGCAGTCGCACAAACAGAGATAGACGAAGAAACAGCGCAAATGCAGAGTATGGAACTAAGAGAGAGAAAGTTTGTGAGAGATGAAGAAAGAGAAGCAAGTTTGTTCGACCATCAGTGAAAAACTACACGGCGAAGATCATGAAACAAACATGACAAAGTGAAATCTGATTACAGAGAGGATGACAAGAACTTTACTCTGATTCTTGAATCAGTAGTGAGAAATGTAAAAGGAACATAAAGTTTCGTACAAGAGCAGTTCCATGAAAATTATTGTAATAAAATAGTACCTAAAGTGATCTGTGTAAAGATTATAATAATCAGCTAATAACAGGCTGATATTAGAATTTGCATACCAATGCAGACCTGTTCTGGTGATGGAAATTTTTGTTTTTGAATTAAGATTACATATATACCAACCTGAAACTTCCATGATCAGAAGTATCTTATCTAGAGTTGGATTTAGCTTGTTGTTGGTACTCTGAAGCTTAAAATTTTGTTTATTGTATTAATTTAGGTAGATTCGTTGGAGACTGAATCAGTCTGACTGATAAATGGAGCAAAGAAACAAAACCTGCAGTTGCTGTTTACAGTCTAATTCCCAAAAAAGGATAAGCTGTTTCGTTGTTGGGATCTTGAGACTTAAAAACTATAGTAAATTGGCGTATATATTCTCATGATCGATTTCTTTCCGTGTATTTTTGACTTGGTATTTGAGTGTGTAATATTTGCATTTGTGGAATTTTTTGTTGTTGAGTTTTGTGATAATTTGCTTAGCATGCCTGTCCTGAATTTCTAAGTTAACTTTTTAAGCTTTTCTTCTTAGATCTCATCGATCGCTTTTGTTCTTACATGTATTGATCATTGTCTTCTTACATTTATTGAACAGGTGAGTTAAAGTTCTTAATGTTAGTATTGTTGTTTAGTGTATAATATAAGCTACATCACAGTTCGTTCTCTTCGATGCCAGTGCAGGTTCTAGTATCAGTACACAAGTTCATATATTGTAGAGAATCTCAAGGGAGATGATTCTCTTTTGGCTCAAGTTTATGGCAAGGTCAACTTTGTTTGTTCGTTCATGTTGCTTCTACACTTATAGCTTAAAATTTTCATACAAATATAAAAAAAGATATCAATCTTTGCAAATATCCTATCAAAGTTTTATCTAATTAAATATCGTTTTCCATATTTTCGATAATACAGTTAATTTTGAAAACCTAGAATTGTCATTGACGTCTAGAGGAAGCAAAAAAAAAAAGATTGCCTTTAAAAACCCTAGACTAAGAGCCTGTGGTGTGTATATCGGAAACCTTCTTCAAAGTTGGAACTCAATATGATTAGAGGAGAAAACACAGATTCCATCCCGATTGATCTCGTCAACGAGATACTCTCGAGATTGCCTGCCAAGTCAATCGCGAGGTTTCATTGCGTGTCGAAGCTATGGAGCTCCATGATTCTCCGTCCATATTTCACCGATTTGTTCCTCACGAGGTCCTCTGCTCGTCCCCCGTGTCTCTTATTTGCCGTCCAACTAGACGTAGACGGCGATGAGTGGTGCTTCTTCACGTCGTCTCAGCCTCAGAATCCATATGATGAGGAGTCGTCGTCTCTTGTAGTAACCGCTGATCGTCACATGCAGTTCCTTGGAGACAATACGTGGCTAGAGACTTGTGGTTATGCCTCAGGATTGATCTGTTTCTGTCGACATAGACCAGATGATAAGCGTACACTGATATTTAACCCTAGCACGGGTCAGTACACAAGTTTACCTATACCTAAAAAGTGGATATATTTGAGAAGCTATTTAGGGTTTGATCCCATTGAAAAACAATTCAAGGTATTGTCCATTCGCGATCCTAATCCTAACTATGATGAAAAGGGATTCCAGTATGAAATTCTGACACTAGGAACAAGAAACGTTTTGTGGAGGAAAATCCATTGTCCCTTAAACCATTTTCCTAATCGTAGCAGTGAAGGGATATGCATCAATGGGATTTTGTACTACTTAGGTGAATATATCTTCTCTGACAAAGCATATGAAAGGCGATATGTGCTAGTTTGCTTTGATGTTAGATCTGAGAAGTTCAAGTTTATAAATAGAGATTTCATTTATGGTGGGTATCATCCGGAACTGGTCAACTACAAGGGTAAATTAGGCGTGTTTACTCTGACGTATGATTACTATCCTGGTACGAGGCGTTCCGTGAAGTTGTATTTGTCCATTTTAAAGAATGACGAGAAACCTGAATCGGAATGGTCAGAATATATCTACACTTTTTGGGAGAACCAATTCCCTAAATGCAATGGTTATGAGTTTTGGGAGAATCCAATCATTGGTGTAACTGCTACAGTTGAAATTGAGTATACAAGTGTTCAAGTCTTTGTAGACTATGTAGAGGATCTGAAGTTTCTTACTATGAAGACTACATACAATGCTGCAACATCTATAGCCCCACCAGAACAGAAGCGTGATGAACCCAAGAGCACATCATCTAAAGCTCACCAGCAACAACAAGATGGTCGTATGTTTGAGAGCATTAACAAGTTTGATTCTCTTCGTCTTTTGGATGATGATGATTTTACCTGATATTGTTTTTCTTGCTCCCTAAGTCAGGCTTAAAGCTATGTTCTCTCTGTAACAGCCATATGTAGTTATCAAATAATTTTTTTAGGAAATTAAGTTTCTTTTATATTCAAGGTCAGGTCCTGGCTGAAAATTGCCTTCAGGATATTTATAACACAGAGAGTTCTTAGCTAATTTGGTTGTGAATGTAACTTGTTATTTTATATTTTTATATTTCTATCGCAATAAAAAAGAAAGAAGTGTCGTAAAATAAAAACCGGAAAGAAAAATTAACCTGTTGGATATTAATTATCCATGTAAGCTGGTTAAGTAGCATAAATTATTGACCACTTACTTTACCTACTCACTTTTCTTCACTTGTATAAATATGTGTGTGAAGCAGCAATCAAAATGTGAATCACTTCTCCCTCTCTTCTCTATCGCACGTCCCTTCCTCTCTTCTGATATATAAAATATAACTATATATATATATATCTATATATATATTCATATATAAATACCCATAATCTTACCTATTGAATATATATAAGGGGAAAATTTACAAGACGTTATCAATATGAGCATTTCTCGATCCGTTTTTATACCCAAAGAGGTAAGATTTAAATTTAGTTTAATTTATTTTAAATTTATGTATTATTCCGGGATGATAGGTTCTGCCTTCCCGAATCGTTAATTTAAATTTATATTCAATTTATTTTAAGTTTACGAGATGATAGGCTCTGTCTTCCCCGAACCGATCGTTATGATAGGTTATGTCTTCACGATCATATGATCATATGGTAAACTATGTCTCCTCAGATCATATTAATGGAGTGGAAGGCTAAGCCTCCTTCTTGATTTTATATTTGTAGAGTAGAAGGTTATACCTCCTCCTTAAAATTATGGTAGGCTCTGCCTCCTCAATTATATAGAAGGTTCTACCTCTATATTGCCTAATTATATATTTTTGTTATATATGCATATTCAAAAGTTTTTATCATGTTTTTTTAAAAACAAAATTTAAATTGCATTTCTGCTAAATTTATGATATACATACAGTTATCATGTCAAATTTGGCGAAGTTCGAAATCCATGCCCTTGATGTGTCTGGAAAAATTACATGTCATGGGTAGTAGGTGCAAAAATGCATCTAAGAGGAAACGGGCTTCTTGATTCCATCGATAAGTCAGAAACGACATCAGATGAGAAAAAGGCAAAAACCATGATATTTTTGCTCCACCACATCGATAATAGTTTAAAAGAGGAATACATCACGAAAGAAGATCCTGCAGATCTTTGGCAATCTCTCAAAGATAGGTTTGGTCACCAGAAATATGTGATCTTACCGAAAGTCAAACATGAGTGGTTGAACCTCCGGTTCAAGGATTACAAAAGTGTTGGTGAATATAATTCCACGATGTTCGGAATTACTTCCAGGATGATGTTATGTGGACAGGAGGTAAGCGATTTTGACATGATCGAATAAACTCTTCAAACATTTCACCCTGGAAATGTAATCCTGCAACAACAATACTGGGCAAAAGGTTACACCACTTATTCGGAGTTGCAAGTCTTCCTTGTGGCTGAACAAAATAATCAGCTCGTGATGTTAAACCATCAAACTCGTCCAACTGGATCATCCCTATTCCCAGAAGCAATTGTTGCGTCATCCAGTCAAAATAATAGAATCGAACGTGGACGCGGTCGAAGCCGTAACCGCGGTCGCAGACGAGGTCGGGGACGAGGAAGACAAAATGATGTTGGTAGGGAAGCAGGAAAGCAAAAAAAAAAACTGCTTGTTACAGATGCGACATGAAAAATCATTGTGCAAAAACATGTTGTACGCCAAGACATTTAGCCAATCTGTACCGAGCATCACAAGATGCCAAAGAAAAGGATAAAGGAAAGGATTTTGAAACCAATTTCATCACTGATGAAGCTGGACCTTCCTTTGATGGCATAAGTGATTATACCCATCTTGATATCGCTGATTTCCTTGTTGATCCTGAAGAATCAACGGAAACAAAGCGATTAAGATCGATGTAATATAAAGTCTTCTTGAAGAAGACAAGAAAAATCAATGTAATTTTAAATAAGAATGTAATATATTTTTGTTAACAAGAAAATGTTTTTCTTAATATAAAATAATTTCTAAAATCATGTTTTTGGTTGATTAATGCATTTTCTTGCATATTGTGATTCAGAACATGTTATCGTTTGAGATTCAGGATGAAGATACATGTCTAGCAGACAGTGCTACGACACATACTATACTTAAAGATAAAAAGTATTTCTCCGGTTTCAAAATAAAGGACTCCGCCGGAAGAGTGAGTACCATATTTCTGGTAATGCAAATATTATAATAGGCTCCGGAAGAGCTAACTTTTCAATGCCAAGAGGGACAAAGTTTGAAATAACTGATGCATTATATTCCCCCAAATCTAGCAGAAACTTGCTAAGTTTTAAAGATATTCGAGGAAATGGATATCATATAGCAAGTATAAATAAGAATGGCATTGAATATCTTTGCATTACATCTGAGAGGAAACATGTATTGGAAGAATTATCAATGATGTCCTCTGGGTTATATTGCACAAAAATAAATATGATTGAATCCTATGTTACTGTAAACTCAGGGTTTACTAGTATTTTTAGAGTATGGCATGAAAGATTTGGCCATCCTGGATCAGTCATGATGAGAAGAATTGTGCAAAAATCGAGTGGCCACCCATTGAAAAACCATAAGATTTTTCAATCGGGAGAGTTTTTATGTCAGGCATGTTCTCAAGGAAAACTCATAACTAGGCCCTCGCCAGCCAAAGTTGGGAATGAATCCCTTGTATCCTTAGAGAGAATACATGGTGATATATGTGGGCCGATTCACCCACCGTGCGGGCCATTTAGATATTTTATGGTATTACTTGACGCATCTAGTAGATGGTCACATGTGTGTATATTGACCACAAGAAATATGGCTTTCGCAAGATTCATTGCCCAAATAATCAGGTTGAGAGCGCAATTCCCTAATTATGCCATAAAGAAAGTAAAGCTTGACAACGCTGGTGAATTCACTTCAGCGGCCTTTAATAACTATTGTATGTCATTAGGAATCAATGTTGAGCATCCGGTTCCACATGATCATACACAAAATGGCATGGCTGAGTCTTTAATAAAACGATTGCAGTTGATTGCAAGACCGTTAATATTGAGAACAAAACTCCCAATTACTGTATGGGAACATGCTATATTGCATGCTGGGGCATTGGTCCAGATGAGGCCAAGTGCATATAGTGAATATTCCCCAATACAGTTAACATCTAGCAAAGAGCCAAATGTATCCCATCTCCGTATCTTTGGATGTGCGGTCTATGTCCCAATAGCCCTACCGCAAAGAACAAAAATGGGGCCACAAAGGAGATTGGGAATTTATATCGGCTATACGTCACCAAGTATAATTAGATATCTTGAACCGATAACTGGAGATATGTTTACGGCACGTTTTGCCGATTGCCACTTTGATGAAAATGAATTCCCAGCGTTGGGGGGAGGATCAAGAGAATCACCAAAGGATATCATATGGTGTACACAAATCTTGGCTTATCTTGATCCCCCTACCCATCAACGCGAGGCGGAAGTTCAGAAAATTATACATTTGCAAAGTTTGGCAAACCAGTTACCTGATGCGTTCACAAATACGAGAAGGGTGACAAAATCATATATCTCCGCTGCTAATGCTCCATCAAAAATAAATGTTTCCGGAACAAGTTACTGATGGGAATGAACCGCAGGTTCAATTAAAGCGCGGGAGGCTGATGGCTCGAAGAATAAAAATCCTCGAAAGAAAAAGAAATTAGAAGACAAGGTTCCAGAAGAACCGAATAAAGAAAAATATCTTGAAGACATTGGTGAAAAGGTTATAGAAAAACCATATAAAGATATATGTCCTGAAGACATACATGAAGAGGTTCCAGAAGAACTAGTTAAAGAAGTTTGTCCAGAAGACGAACATGATACTGAAAAGTATGAGATTTCCATTAACTTCGCCCAAAGTGGGACATTATAGGCTAGAAGTGAGATAAATGATACAAATGGAATGTTCTCCTTTTTGGTATCCAAGGAAATTGATAATTAAAATGATGAACCAGACCCAAGGTCCGTGTCAGAATGCCAGAAAATGCCTGACTGGGAGAAATGGCAGATGGCCATGAGAAATGAATTAATCTCCCTGCATAAAAGAAATGTCTTTGGAACTATAGTCATTACACCAGAAGATGTAATGCTGGTTGAGTGCAAATGGGTCTTTGTGAGAAAAATAAATGAGAAAAACGAGATCACAAGATATAAAGCCCGACTTGTGGCACAAGGTTTTTCTCAAAGACCAGGAATTGATTATGAAGATACATATTCCCCGGTCATGGATGCAATCACATGCAGGTACTTAATGAGCCTAACGGCATCTAAAAATCTA